CTGGACGGGCCGGGCGGAGGGCGGACGGCGGGGGCGTGGGCGAGGGCGGGCCTCTGGGGGGGGGCTCTGGCCCGGGGGGAGCCGCAGGAACCGGGCCCGGGAGCTAGAGAGCAGTACCCCGGAGCCCGCGAGGTCTCCTGCTGGGGCAGGGGTTCGACTAGAAGACCTCTAAGGTCCCTCCTGCACTCTGCCGGGAGAAGGAGGCATCGCCCGGCGCCCCGCATCCCCTTGACTTGCTCCCCTGCTTCCAGCCGGCCTCGCTCTGCCGGGCGGCGCATCCCGGAGGAGGCGGAGGCCCGGGTCCCCGCATGAGGCTGCCCGGAGACCCTCCGGTCGCGCCCCCCCCCCCCGGCCAGGAAACTCTTTGGAGATGCCAGAGTCGCTGAGGAGGGGGAGTCTAGCGCCGGGGGGGGGGGCAACTGGTGAATCACCCCAGTGGGGGTAGGACAAGGATCTCTGGGCATCCGGGCCCAACTGCTTTGGGCTGAGACTCGGTTCTTCTGAAGCGGGCTGGGACCCCCCAGTGCCTTGGTGACCAGGCTTTTGCCTGAGGCAGGGGGGCAGAGGTGCCAGTGGGAAAGTCCGCCATGCCCCTGCAGACTTTTCGGAAAACCCAGCGAGTGGGAACCTGCTTCCCTGGTGGTGCTGAAGGATCCCTATGACAGGCTGTCATTCGGTAGCAATTTAATCTGCACTAGATTCTGGCCTCTTTCCAACACTTCATGCAGAGAGACGGCTACCATTTCGGATGCCCTAAAGCAGGGGTCCCCAACCCCCGATCTGCGACATGCCAGCCACAAAAGTACACACCCTCCGGTCTGCGGAAAAACCTCTCTCCACACAACCGGTCCCTGGTGCCCCCAAGGTTAGGGGCCTTTGCCCTAAAGGGATTGGGCGATGCCAGAGTTGGGTGGGATTGGGCGGCATATAAATTTTATTAATAAATAAATAAATAAAGGCCTGTTAAAGTGGCAGCCAGGTTCCCCCCTCCCCACCTCCTGTCTATCATACTCAGCCCTCAGTCACCCCCTTCCTGGCTCAACTTGGAGGGCATAATCTGAAGAAGGACAAATGATGGTTTAGAGCAAGGCTCTCTGTGGCAGCCCCTCCAATGCTCACATGCCCTGGCCTGGCTCTATGGATACTGTACTGAACAAGGACTGTATTCAGTAGCCAAACAGATTTTAATTCAGCGTATCACATAAAGCAAATCTTTGCTTATCTGCTGATTATGAGATACAGACTGATGATTATGAGATAACAGTGTTTGAGTGAAACATGCTTAAATTAACTGTAGTGAAATTCTGCAGTTTCCACAAGAACAGAGAATTCGGGATCAGGTCCCAATGGAAGAAGCAGGCTTTTGTCTCCAGTGCCTCAGTCCTTGTGTGTTTTTATGCCAACTGGCTACTTTTCGCATCAGCCTGACTTTCACATCAGAGCAGTTTGACAGCATCCTGGATCTGCTCGAGCTCTCTCTTTTTCTGAGGTTCTTCCAAGATGCTGTCTGAGTTTGAGCAGCTAGTTTACACTTCTACCAACTCTGCTCTTATTTTGTGTGCAAGTACAAGGATGTTTTGGTTCTTTTCTTTAATAAAGTTTGATCCAGTTCTCTCTTGTGAGATTGCTCTGTCTCCTCAAAAGAAAGAATAGGAGGAACAAAGGCTGATGTACCCGGTGCTGTGCCTCAGTGCTAGAGGGCCGTATGTATTGAGAGTTTATTTCCTTTTTGAGCTCCGCAGTCTGTCTCTTTCACACACTAGTGTTGGGGTGGACAGTCAGTAAGTGAATCTCCTAGAAGTAGGTGGCGGCACCAGTAACGGCGAAGGCGCCCATCAAGGTGGGATGTTAAGACCTCCAGCTTTCGGTACTCTATTTATCACAGGCAGATTAAGGAATAAGCACTTGAAAAATATTTTGCAATTATTCCTCCATCATGATGACAAAGTTGCATTTATTGCCACACATGCTGCTCCCCTAGGGCAGTGGTTCTAAACCTTTTTAATGTCACGACCCCCAACGGTTGTAAGTCGAGGACTACTCAACCGGTCGTAAGTCGAGAACTACTCAACTGGTGCAGCCCCGTTTGCAGAATGGGACTTTTGGCAGGCTCAGCAGGGCAGAGACAGTCTGGACAATTCCTATTGGTTTTGGAAAGCCAATAGAATTAGACTCTATTCAAGAGAGTCTGTTCTATTGGCTTTCAAAAGCCAATAGAATAAAAGGGAGTAGCACAGCTAAGGGAAAGGGGAAAAAAATGGCGGACTGCGTTGTTTGGCGACCCCCGTGAAACGGTTGTTCGACCCCAAATGGGGTGCCAACCCACAGGTTGAGAACCACTGCCCTAGGGATTAATATCTCAGCAGCTCTAATGACCTGGTGGGCAAAAAGGGTTGGCAAGCTAAGAGTCACCTGTACTGGGGCTGAGGGCCAGGGAAGCCAACCCACCCAGGAGAAGAAACTGCAGAATCGGCAGCTGTGGAAGCCCCTGCAAACCCTGTGGGTTGTAACACAGAGAGAGCTTCAGGTGAGAGACGAGGAGGAATCTCCTGGCTGTGTAGTGTCAACCTATGAAACAGGCTCCCGTGTGCGGTAGGTGAGCCCTTCCTTGCCGGAGGTCTTCAGAAGTAGCTAGTCCAGTGGTGGCGAACCTATGGCATTCAGAGCCCTCTCTGTGGGCACGGGCGTCGTCGCCCCAGTCCTAGGTCTTCAGCTGGGTTTTATAAAACCTTTTCGCTTTAGGCCTCCGCTGCCATGTGCAAAAGAAAAAAAAAGGTCCAATCAGTCAATTTCAACTCGCGGGAAAAAAAAGATCTTGCAAAGTTGGAATTGACTGATTGAACTTTTTAGTCCCACTCTGCCGTTATCACCGCAGCCATGCCCACCCAATGGGCCACACCACCATGTTGAAGGAACAAGAATGTACTATAGAAATATGGAAAGAGAGAAGGAATGGAAAAATAGAAGAAAGTGGGAGGTGGATGTTGCAAGATGGGAGACGGATGTTGAAAAGAAGGAAGGGAAAAAAAAACAATGGCTAGAACACAGAAGCAACCACTGAAAGGGGGTCGCAAGGGGTGTTTGATATTTTCTAAAACAGGATGGTTGTATTTATACTTTAGTTAAACAAATCTGTGGTAAATACAAGTAAATAAAAAGCTTTACAACATTTAGTAGTGAGGCCATGTCAATATAGGCCTCAACTGGAAAGTTGTTTTTGTTTCTTTGAAATTATGTATGGGAGGCTTTTGTTACATGAAGGTTCAAGAATATCAATGAAGAAGAGAAGAAAGTTACTCAGTATTTGCATAATCTGGTGCAGGTTTTGTCTTCTATCTCAATACAGGCCCAGGCTACCTTACCACCTGTCTCTGGCCATTGTTCCTGGAGAGTGGGTTCAGGTGAAAAGAACTGTCACCTAGAAATATCAGTCCTGAATGGTCTCAACCATGCCAGGTCCTCCTGATTTAAGGAATCAAGGTGTGAGTCCATGGAAAGTCCCATCATATCCTCTCCTGTGACAAGCTCAGCAGTTGGACAGCCTGAAAATGAAATTTCAACCTGCCTCACCTGTTGGACTGTTTCCATCTAAGTAGGATAAAAACTTCAATGGATTGGACTACCATGGAAATCGTGTTCCTAGAACCTGGACTATGTGTTGCAATATTTTTCTTCTGCTACTGTTGTTTCCTTTGTACCTTCTTTGGTAGAAGGAAGGACCATGGGCCCAATACTTTAAGGAACATTGGGGAAAGAAGAGGCAGAATATGAAAACTTGCTTGCACAGGAATCTAAAAAAAAATATAGGGAGTTATGAACTATTAAAAGTATAAAAGAATAATTCAGGTGAAAAAAAAGGAATTGAGGGAAATAAAAGTTATTATTTTATAAATTGTAGAAATAATTATAGAAATGTAATGCCAATATATGAGACTGTCTATTTAAGACAAATGTAGTGTAAATGTAACAATGCAATGCCAATGTATGAGAAGGAATGTTTACTGCTTCCTGCCTATGTAGAGTGACGACAAATGGTAATCAGCAAAGATAATGAATTATGACCCGATGGACGGAAATTGGAAGGAAATTGTCAAGATGAACTATTAAGTGTAAAAACAACTTCAAAAAATGGCTATGGAGTTGAAAGAGCTTAGATGTGACGTGCATTGTAAAAAGTATAAAATGCAAAGCTTCGAAACTGTTGCGCTCCTGGAACCCAATCCATTGGGAAAGATCCAGGAGGCCGCGTTTGCAAATGCCTCTTTTTTTCTCTTCTCTTTTTATTCTTTTTATGTTATTCTCCAATAAAACTTTGTTTTGTTAACCAGACTTGTCTTCGTATTGTAAGTATGAAAATTTGGGGTTTTTACATCTCACAATCTAGGAGTAGATCTACTCGGTACTTAAATTTACACTGAAGAGCTATGGGGTAGTAAGAAAATCACAATTTTCACAGAGAAAAAAAATCCAGCTGGATTTCAGGAAGGTGCTGTAGGTCGGGGGTCTCCAAACTTGGCCTTTTGACTTGTGGACTTCAACTCCCAGAATTCCTCAGCCAGCCATGCTATCTGAGGAATTCTGGGAGTTGAAGTCCACAAGTCATAAAAGGGCCAAGTTTGGTCTAGAGAGCCCGAGAAAGCCTTGGTGTCAAAAGTAATTATGAGGAGGAGGGTGGGGCAGGACAGACGTGGCGGGGGATGGACTTGATGACCTCTTGGGACCCCTTTCCTCAGTATTAACCTCCATCGAGAAAGGGGGGGAAAACTCGGGGGAGGAAGAAGGTCCTGAGAGGTCATGCACTCCAGCCTCTGGGCAAAGGATCTCACCCCCCGCCGCCCCCCGCATTCCCAGCGGCGGCGAGGCGGAGGAGCCCGAAGCCGCCAGGAAAGGCCCCGAGGCGGAACGGTCGGGCGGCGGGGCCTGTTTCCGGGGGAGGAGAGGAGAGGGCGCTCGCTCGTGCGTGCGTGCGCGCGTGCGTGCGGGGCGTGGCGCGCGGCGTGGGCGTGGCCGGGCGGCGTTGCCATTGCGACGGCGAGGAGCGGGCGCGGCCCGCCATGGCGGAGCCGGAGAGCCTGGAGGCGGCGGCCGAGCACGAGCGGATCCTGCGCGAGGTGGACAGCACCGACACGGCCTGCCTCGGGCCCACCCTCAGGTGCCGCCCCCCGCCCCCCCCCCGCGGAACTCCCCGCCTCGGGAGCCGGTACTCCGAGGCGGGACCCCCCCACCGCCCCACGTCCCCCGCGGGTCCTGGGCGAAGGCGGCGAAAGGCTCCGGGGAGCCGAGGGGCCCGAGGCCCGTTTAGAGGGGCCGGGGGGGCGGAAGACCCCGCCGGGGAGGGCTCGAGTCAGAGGACCGGCTGTTCTGGGCGGTGGCTGCCCCTCCCCCCGCTGCCACCTTGACTTTTCTGACCGGGCCCGGCCCGGAGGAGGGTGGGGGGGCTCCCTCCCTCCCTGCGTGGCTTCTGCGCCCCCCCCCCGCCCTTCCCGGCTCTTCTCCCTCCTCCGCTGGGCTCGATTGTCCTTTCTCTGCGCGAGGCGTCCGGGGTCCCCGGGGGGGGGCAGCCCCTGCAGGTGGTATGAACGGATAGATGAGCTCTGGGGTCTCTTTTGTCCTGTCCACGGCACCCATTAAAGCTGAGATGTGGTTGCTTGCTGTCGAAGTACACACATCCATAACACACCTTGAAACAGGCTATATGCAACTACTACACCCTTACATGTGAGTAACATATAAACATTAATCACTGTGTAAATATTAATCACTGGATGGATAACAGTGGCCATCCTCCTCCCTCCTCCTCCTCCTCTTCCTCCTCCTCCTCCTCCCCCTCCTCCTCCTCCTCTTCCCCTTCCTCCTCCTTCCCCTCCTCTTACTCCTCCTCCTCTTCCTCCTCCTCCCCCCTCGCCCCCCCTTGCTGCCCCCTGGGCCATGGGAGGCCATAGGAGAAGCAGCCCTGGCTCCTGTTTTGGGAGCCCCGACAGTGGCTGGGGGCCAGTTTGGAAGGGGGAGATTAATGGGGAAGAAGAGCCAGCAAGAGGGAGCCCCACTTCTGCATTTCTGGCAGCGGCTGTCCTTTGCCCCGCCGGGGCCTCCTCCCCGGCCCCTTCCCTGCCCTTGGGTGACCTGGTGGGACCTGGGTGCCTGGGAAGGTGCCTTGGCTTGTGGGAGAGGGGGCGACGGCCTCGTCTGGACAGCCTGTCCGTGCCTGTCTTTTCCCGGGATCTCAAATATACGGTCCAGCCTCTGCTTCCCCTCAGTCTGCAAGAGGGAAATAATCCTCCTGGCCTACAGTTATGAATCATAACTTTAATTTTATCCCTCTGCGTGGCTCATCGTCCTGTTTTTCTGCTCCGGGTAACGTCCCTCGGGGAGCACTTCCTGGCAGGGACGAGAAATTTTTTTCTCTCCCTTTCCTTGAATTTAAACAGTGTAATGTTCCTTCTTGCCTACCGTAATGTGTGTTTCTTTTTCATGGTTTTGTCCAAAAGGACGAAAACCACTGAATTCACTTAGGCCGTATGGTGTTTCTGGATGGGAAAATGGTATTTCGTTTTGGAATCTGCGTCTGTATCTGTTGGGCACCACAGAATGAGGGATTATATTGAAGGAGAGGGATCTGGGGATGTCTCCCCCTTCATTCAGAATTAGATTTCCTGGAAGGAAAAACAGTGATATAACCAGACCTTTGTTGGCTTTTCTACAGACCCTCTGCTCTTCAACCTCCCGTGGATTACAGGCAGTCTTCAGGTTAAGAAAGAGTGCAGTTTGTAAATTTGTCCTTAACTCAGATTTGTATGCCAGGAATTCGTAGTTACGAACAGCCTGCGTATTACTAAAAATGGCAGATGACCTTCCTTTCATGAGTAGATGAAAACAGCCTCTGTATTAAAAACTTGCTGTTTCAGTGGTCTAGGACAGGGTAGGCAACCTTGGCTCTTTTATGACTGGTGGACTTCAACTCCCAGAATTCCTGAGCCAGCCATGCTGAGGGGAAAGGGAGAGGTTTCCAAGCTGAGCCATGCTGGCTCAGGAATTCTGGGAGTTGAAGTCCACAAGTCATAAAAGAGCCCAGGTTGCCTACCCCTGGTCTAGGAAAACAGTGTGCATCTTCAGCAGTTCATCTGTTCGAGGAAAAAGAATGCCATCACCTGTTAGTACAGTAACACGCAGCCTGGTTGTAAATACGAATTGTCCATATATTGGACATTCTTAAGCCGGAGACTGCTTGGAATCAGCGTTGTCCCTTTTACATCTGGAAGTGAGACTTCTCAGAGGTGTCCTGTGCAGCATATGAATGGACTATGAGCCTGAGAATTCAAATCCCCACAAAAAGGGGTCAACATATAGATAAGATTTCTTAAATTGATGCTACTTGTACCCGGAGAGACCCAATATAGGATCACACTGGTTCTATAGTGCCCCCTAGTGGCCAGTGCCAAATACAAGAACTTGTGAAAAAGCTACATCTCCCCCTCCCCTTGGTGGGGGGGGGGTCTTCAGGACTCTAGATCAGGGGTCTCCAAACTTGGCAACTTTAAGACTTGTGGACCTCAGCTCCCAGAATTCCTCAGCCAGCCTAGCTCCGTAGACAGTGCCGGGCACAAAACATAACAAACATTAAAACCAGCAGGGTAGCTTTGAGTGAAATACTGTACGTTGAGTATACAGTTTGCTGCATAATGCAAGGCTTCTTAACGTATTGTTTTTTCACAAACTCTTTTCATCATGACCATCATTTATTCGTGATCCCTGTGCTGGCAGAGCTGCTTCAGTCAATGCTTTTAATTCATTAGTGGTTTTACAATGGCTCCATTAGGGCGGTAGGTGGATGGGTCTAGCCCCCCCCCCGCTCCTGTGCCTCTGCTTGACATTGACGAGACCTCAGTCCGTTACACCTGAAGGGTTTTGCCTCCTAGCACACCTCTGGCACAGGTAGTCCTCAACATATGACCGCTATTGAGCCCCCACATTTCTGTTGCTAAATGAGGCATTGTCCCATTTTATGATCTTTCTTGCCACAGTTCTTAACTGAATCACTGCAGTTGTTAAGTTTGTCAGATAGTTGTTAACGTGAACCTGGCTTCCCCATGGACCTTGCTTGTCAAAAGGTCACAAATGGTGATCACGTGACCCCCCCCCCAGACATGCAGCCATCATAAATAGGAGCCAGTTGCCGATCATGTGACCACGGGATGCTGCAACGGTCGTAAGTGTGAAAAAATGGCCCCAAGTGGGAAATTTGGGTTACCTAAGGCTTGAAAATTATAAATATTAAAGGTTAAATTGGAATGCTGATGAGAAATTAAAAAAAATGGGTAAAACTTAATAATATGGGGTGTCTATGAAGATTGAATTTAACTAAGATACATATAAGCTAAAAATTTATCGATCAATGTGATAATGACGTTTTTATTGAGTTGATATAATAAGAATTGCACCAGCCTTGAATACGAGACAGTAAAGGTTAAGGGAAAAAGAGCAGAAATATTGGATGTTGTAACAGTGAGTTGTAACAGTGAGAACAATTAATCAGTGGAACAGCTTGCCTCCAGAAGCAGTAAATGCTCCAACACTGGAAGTTTTTAAGAAGAGACTGGACAGCCCTTTGTCCGAAATGGTGTAGGGTTTCCTGCCCGAGCAGGGGGTTGGACTAGATGACCTCCAAGGTCCCTTCCAACTTTACTACTACTATTATTATTATTATTATTAACCTGAGATTTGTACTAAAGATTTCGTTACCGAACTACTGATACCCAGTCACCAGGTTGCTTTTTAAAGACTTAAATGTAAAATTGGAAAATTAATAAAATATTTAATAAATAAATACGAGCCAGTTGCCAAGCACCCAGATTTTGATCAGGTGACCAGGGGGATGCTGCAGCGGCCATTAAGAGTGAAAAAATGGCCTCCAGTCCCTTTTTTCAGTGCTGTTATAACTCTGGTCAATAAACGAACTGTTGCATGCCGAGGACTGCCTGGGACCTAATAAAAACCAGAAAATCCAGAAAACCGATAACCCCAAAGCAGAAGAAACCGGCCCTGCAGCCGTTCTTGCCCGACCTCTAATAGATGGGCAAGTTTGAGGGAGCTTTGACCACGGTGCTCTCCGTTTCTCAAATCCTGGCTTCGGTTTTGAGGTCGCCAGTTTCCGTCCAGGCTGCGCAGGGTCGGTGTTTGCCTTTTCAAAGGGGCACCTGCAGAAACCCCCCTTTTGCCGAAGGAATGACACTGCAAAGGGAACGGGCATTTGCGTGGCTTTTTTGTTTTTCTCCTCGGCTGGCACACAAACGTCTTTTTCAGAGAGGTTGCGGGAAAGAGATCCGTAAATCGCTTCTCTAACAATGATGAGCATGCTTTTCCTTCTGCTAAAGGGTGTCTTAATGGCAAAAGTGGCCCTAATCGTTCGGGCTGCCCGTTGAACTCTATCGGAGTATCCTTTAGGTAAGTCCTTAGGTCAGGGGTCTCCGGCCTTGGCCACTTGAATACTTGTGGACTTCAACTTCCTTCTTCGGTTTTTTTCCTGTGCTTGACCGGAGCTTCTTCGCCCGCCTTGGTTGGTCCTTTGTTGCTCTCTCTGTTTTGCATTCAGCCCACCGTCCCTGCTCGCACGGGGCCGCTCACGTCTGCCTCGGTCAGTTTCCACAAACACTTCTGAAGAAACGAACGCCCGTTGCGTCCGATTTCCCCTGACAGAATATCCCAGTGGTTTATTTGGAATCACAAAGTGGATAGTTCTTTTTGTGTTTTCTCCCCCCAGAAAATATTCATCTTTTGCAGCCTTTTCAGTTTTCTTCCTGCCCAGACTTCACAATTTGTCTACTGGTTTCCCATCTTGAGTAAACATTCTTGCATGTACGCAGGTTGATCTGTTTGCTCCACTGGAACTGCTTGCCAATTGTTCCGCTTTCTTGGGCACAGGGATCTCCTGCCCTGGACGCCTCACTACACCAGGCAGACTAGTCAATATGTGGGTTCACAGCCAGCAACGCCGCATCTTTTGCATGCAGAAATCCAGATACATTCGTGTTCCTGATTTATTGAAAACATCCTTTATACCAGCAGTGCCCAATCTTTTGGGCGCTAGGCACCAGTTCTGTTGAGGGTGGGTTTTTTCGTGGACCGGGGTGAGTGAGCGTACTTTAGTGCGCTGTC